ACGCATTTACATCAACATACAGTATAAGTAGGGATAACTGATGTGAGTGGGGGGTTGTTGAATTGCAGCTGCCTGTGGCTGACTGCCAACTAGAGCTGTCAGGTATGTGGTGGACTTTGCCCTCTCCCACCCCCTTCCATTATACCTAATCTCTACCCACTCAAACAAATATTTGCATATTATTTTTAAGCATATACAGCTATGGATATCCTAAGCTTTGAAAACAAAGGGAGACAACTAAACCCAAGAGCTCTGATTTAGCTAAATTATGGCTCTAATCATTTTACTGGCAATTCCTGCTACAATAGTTCCACACACTTAAATCCCCTACACATAATTTCCTCAGCCCAAATGTTTGCAGATTAATGCATGGCCTAAAATACCCCTTACCTCTCTCTATCTTTCTGGTCCTTCAAGACCCATTTTTCCCTGGGATTTCAGTTGCTGCATAAGCTTTTGTTTTTGCTACGAATACACACTTAATTCTTTAGCTGCTTAAAAACCTAATAAATCTTCATGTACTAAACAGCTTTTCTCTCTGTCTCCTTCCATCTCTTTGATCTAGCCATCCAGGAGTAATCCATGGGTAATTATAACTTCTGAGCTTCTTTTAGCCTAAAAAGAGCCAATTTATCACAAACTGTCATGAATCCTGATTTAAAATTATCAAGAGCCCAATTACCAATAGAAATAAGGGATACTTCTTTCCAATTAAAGTGATTGATTTCACATAAAAACCAAGTAACATTTCACTTTTTAATTATGCATTCTTATCAAATGCGAAGAGGTTCTCCCACATTTTATTTTACATTCCAAGAGTGTACTATAACGAACATTAATCATATGCTGATATAATGCCAAGCCTAATAATTTGACACCTTAATTTGACAGAAACTAATCTATCAAAATATCCTATCACTTTTAATGGTTAATCCTAGTTACTTCTAGCATCTAGTAATTTGGAGAAGCAAAATAAGAAAACTGATTTGCTATATTCACAGCACAATGCAATGCATAGCTGCTCAGAAGCAAGATCCACTGTGTTCAGTGGAGCTGACTCCATAATAACTGGTTAGAATCACAGCCTGATTCACCTATCATATTAAATCCATCCTACAGAGGCATGCTGTTTTGTCTCTCTAGACAGCTTTTTTAAGACACTTCAATTTCATATGCTTTTATGGAAAAAAATATGAAAACCCAGTTTCAGATAAACTGATACCATCTTTAATACTACCCGTGATGAAATGAAAATATCAAATTACGTATCTTCAATCCCAGCAGACCAGAGAACTTCAGCTCCATGCCAAAGCTGTTGCCATCCATTCCTGCACTGTTTTACAAGGGCATTGTGGGAAACAAATCACTTTTCAAATCACTGACTTGATGGTAATTCTTTGGTGGGCAGAAGGCCTGCCTGGGTATTATGTTCTTTCACCCATACTTCTTTTCACATGGAGAAAAGTTTTATTTGGGCTGTCTTCTTATTGTCATTGTTGAATCCTGGGGTGAGCATTGAGGGAAAGGGGGCCATGTTTAGTTATATTTTATGTAGGCTTCCAACATACTACCCCTGAGATGGTGCAGGTGAGAAGTTGCTGCTGGTCTAGGGCTTGCCAATCAGAAGGTTGGCAGTTCGAACCCCCATGATGGGGTGAGCTCCCGTTGCTCAGTCCCAGCTCCTGACAACCTAGCAGCTCGAAAGCACATCAAAGGGCAAGTAAATAGGTACCGCTCCAGTGGGAAGGTAAACGGCATTTCCATGGCGTTGCTCTGGTTTTGGTGTTCTGTTGCACCAGAAGTGGTTTAGTCGTGCTGGCCACATGACTTGGAAAAACTGTCTGCGGACAAACGCTGGCTCCCTTGGCCTGTAAAGTGAGATGAGCGCCACAACCCCCGAGTCGTCTGCGACTGAACTTAACTGTCAGGGGCCCTTTACCTTTGCACTGACCAAAATAGCATTCTCTTAAACTTCCATATAATGACCTAGTTTTCATGTCATAACCACTGACTCCCAGAGAGGTGTTCACACCTGCTTTGCTCTTCCATTAGCCTTTTAGATCAATGTTGAATGGCAGCTAAGCCAAGGTTTGGCTTCTTGCCCAAACCTAGGATGATGATTAAGGCTTCTCCTCCTCAACCACAACATGTAACCATAGGACAAATCTTGGCAACGGCGTAAGGAGGAGACACCTTAAATACATCCCTCAGTTCAAACACACCAAGCCAAAGCTTGGTTGAGCTGCAATGCTGCATCTACTTAAAAGCCCAAGGAGAAGCAAGGAGGCTCATTGGGATCAGCATGTTCATGCACTTGTGCAAAGCCATGACTTGTTTAGCATGACATGCCAATGCAGCCACTGGCGAAAGCAAAAGAACTGGGATCTTGTAATAAAAGTGAGTATGTACATACAGAATTCTCACAACCTGTCTATTCAGCTCACTTTAATCATAGGTCATCCATCAAGTGGTGGTCATCAATACTAGTATTTAAAAGGGCAGCTGGAAAAAAAGTAGTATGGACCTTCAGACTAGATTGAATAACTAGTATAGGACTGTTTAATTGTTTGTATATGAAAGCAGATTACATATTGGGACTGTGGGGCTTAATTGAGAATATAATGCTAATGGGGTAACCAACCTGGTGCCCTCCAGCTTCCATTGTTCCTAACCAATGGTCATGTTGGGTGATGGGAGCTGGAGTCCAGCAACATCTGATGGGAACCACTTTGGCGAAGCCTGAACCAAGCAATATCCAGACCATGTGCAAATATGAGAGTTTACTAGTCCACCGCTGAACTGAGGTAGCAGATTCACATAAAATGCTTTTGAACAGATTTAAAACTTCAGGAGGTAGGTTTTTTAAAAAGTGTCTCAAAAATAGTTTCGCATCCCATTTTGAGTTTTCAGAGTTAAAACAAACAACATCAAATTCACCAGTGATACTTTAAAAGACTTTTATTATTTTTCAATTTAGTATACACAAAGAAAAACTTGGTTATTTTAAACAAAGCAGGGAGGACACTTTCTCCTATTTTGACCCACATACTTTTAAGTAAAAACTCCAGGAAAAGGCTTGTTCTTAATATTATTATTATGATGATTTTATTAAAGTGTAAATGAAATTGTACAAGAAATTGATAACTGTCACCGTGGCTCTAAGAAATCCAATCTTGAGAAACAAACTGATCAGGTGGCCAAATTCTATCAACAATGTTATTTCATTAAAAACAAGCAAACAGCTAAAGGAACTATTTTTTTTTAAATGCCATGATCTAATGAATGTAGCCTTTGTGAAATAAACAGTTTTGGTTAACATTTATTTTTAAGGGAAACATTATTGGGCAGCTGGGTAAGTTATACCAGAGTGTGAACAGGAAATAGAATGCAAGGGGACGATAAACTAAACCTTCCTTTCACAAGTTAAGAGTGTTGGCCATTTCATACACGACAGTTGTGTCCTACATGGACACAGTCTCTGTACAGGTCATTAAAAAACACACAACAGAATTATGTATGATGTGCAAAGGGGAGTGAGGTCATGGCTCAGTGGAAGAGCATCTGCTTGGCTTGCAGAAGGTCCCAGGTTCCAACCCCAGCGTGTCCCTGTAGGGTTGAGACTGCCTGAGACTCCAGAGAGCGGTTGCCAGAAAGTGCAGACAATGCTGAGCTAGAGGGAGCAAGGGTCTGACTCAGGAAAGGAAGCTTCCTCGATTCCTGAACAGGCAAGGCCTCCTTCTGCTGCGAGTGCATCTTCCAAGAAGGCACAAAAGGTGTGACATGGCCCCTGAACAAAAACATTCATTGGGGGGAATTGTGTGGGATCTTGTGAACGTGAAGGCAATGTTGGTTTCAAAACAGGCAGGAGGGCACAGGGAAAGAAAGTGATTTTGGTTTCTGTGCTGTAGAATGGAAGGGTGCCAAATGTAAATGTCTTTAAGTCAGAAGTAGTTCAGTATTTTAAAAGCAGAGGATGGAACTGCACAGCAGTATAGTTAAGTGTGGGTTTAACAATTCCATGGTCAAAGTCAGCAGAACTTAACAGGCTTCCTGCTTCAAAAACGAAGGCCTGGTGTTAACAAAGGATGACTGCGAGTAATTCCCTTAGGCACTAGTGAGGTGTACTTGGAATTATTAAACATATAAAATCTGTTCCCATTGAATGTTATCTAAATACAGTGGTACCTCATGTTGCATAACTTCCAGGTTACGGAATCTTTGGGTTATGGCCATGGCAAACGCAGAAGCGCTCTGTGGCGCCACATGTGTGCGCAGAAGCGGTCCTCCAGTTACAAAATTTTCGGGATACGGCCAGGCCTCCGGAACTGATCCCGTTCGTAACCAGAGGTACCACTGTATTTAACTTTGCTTACCATACTGAGCACATGGCACTCTTAAGGAGGAGACTAACATCAGGAAAATGTAACAAGCAGGCACCAGGGGAAATATTTTACATAAGATGGGATTGTTTGTCAGATCCCTTACACTGAGAACAACAATTTCAGAGAGTTGCCATGTATGCAGTACTAATCTCTACGACCCCTCTAACCCATTACCCCTCTATTGTTGTCCCTGCCAAGGTTGCTCAACCATTGCTACTGTGTCATTTCTTTTAGCAGATCAAGATAAGAAGGTGACAGCAAGAACTGCAAAGTTTTTAGCAGGGGCAATTAGAATAAGACCTATTATTTGATTGTAACCCCCCAAAATGTATTTTCTATGTTTTTACCTCTATCCTCAGTACATTTTATTTTATTTCAGGCTGCTGAATTATCTCCCTACCTACCCACTTAAAAAAACCAAATGAACTGCATACCTCTAGGGACTGTGATAAAACACTGGGGTCAATTCTCAAAGTGCAGGGACAAGCAGGCCTGGATCTTCTACAGCCAAAACCGCTTTGAATATTGGGCAGATGCAAGAGACACTGGGATTTTTATTGGTTTCCAAAATTTGACTGTGGTATTTAAAGTTTTAGTATATAAAATATTTCCACCAGCTTCCAATTCATTACACTTTTATTTCCAAGAGGGCAACACTAATTAATTAGAGTTCATGACCGATGCCTCTCCATGAAGCTCTTCATGAATGTTGCTAACTTCTGAACGTCTTCTCTTGTCACAGCATTATACAAAGAAGCACGGATTCCTCCCACAGATCTGAAATAATAAGGGGAAATGCAGGGAAACAGTACATTTGGAGCGTCCCCCAGTTTCACCAGTGCACTATATTATTTTTGTAGTCCAGAACATTCATTTATATCAAGGGGAAAGTAACCTCTTTCAGCCCAAAGGCTGCATTCTTTTCTGGGCAAGCCTATTTGGGAAAAGACGCCAGAGGTGAGCAAGGCCAGAGGCAAAAGTGGGCGGAGCCTCCAGTGTACCTTCCACCTCTGAACAGCAGGCTAGTTTCTACACACACCCCACTCTGTCCTCCACTATGCAATCAAGAGGTCTTATCAGAGTACAAGGGAACATTCTGGCAAGGCAAAAGCACTCAATGAAGTTGTGAATCAGGGACAGCGGCGAACATGACCTGGAAAGGCGGTGTGGCAGCTAAAGACCGAATGTGGAGTGGTAAGTCCTGAGGGGCAGATAGAGAGACCTGGAATGATTGAGAGCCATTCATTTCCAGAAACAGAAAGAAGACTCAAGAAGCAGCTGAGAGCCAGCGTGGTGTAGTGGTTAAGAGCGGTAGTCTCGTAATCTGGGGAACCGGGTTCGCGTCTCCGCTCCTCCACATGCAGCTGCTGGGTGACCTTGGGCCAGTCATACTTCTTTGAAGTCTCTCAGCCTCACTCACCTCACAGAGTGTTTGTTGTGGGGGAGGAAGGGAAAGGAGAATGTTAGCCGCTTTGAGACTCCTTAAAGGGAGTGAAAGGTGGGATATCAAATCCAAACTCTTTCACAGATTGTTTAGTCTACCAAAGCAGATACTGACTGTGGGAACTTATTTCTGGACATGTGCAGTTCCTACAGGAGACCCAGAGAGCTGGTTTTAACCAGTCTTGCTTTTTCTTCTCTTACCGGCAACATGCAGAGCACAGAGACTCTTGTTTGGACTTTAAGTGTACCTTTGTTCTATCGAGATGAAGTAAATGCTGCATATTGCAACCTGCTCAAGTAAATGTCTTACTTCAGTGATTTATTTATTGCTTCCATGAGTATTTTATTGCCTCTTATGTGCAACCAACCCTCAATGTGCTTCCAGGGAAGGAGCTGCGTTGTTTTCTCTGCCAGTTTAAAGGCTGGCACATGCGGAAGTGAGGGGACACAGGTGGCACTGTGGTCTCTAAACCACTGAGCCTCTTGGGCTCTGTCCCACCTTTTGCCAACCTAGCAGTTTGAAAGCATACCAGTGCAAGTAGATAAATAGGTACTTCTGCGGTGGGAAAGTAAATGGCATTTCTGTGCGCTCTGGCACTTGTAGCGGTCCTCTGTGTGCCAGTAGCGGTTTAGTCCTGCTGGCCACATGACCTGGAAAGCTGTCTGTGGACAAACGCTGGCTCCCTCGGCCTGAAAAGCGAGATGAGCACCACACCCCATAGTCACCTATGACTGGACTTATCCATCCAGGGGTCCTTTACCTTTTACAAGTGGAAGTGTTGCTAGACCACTGGATTTCTGAGCCAGAGATCATAAAACCTTTAATACTTGAGGGCCACATTTGGTCTCCAGGTCTAGAGGTTGCCCACCCTCAATTTATACCAACCTGGTGCTTCCAGATGCTGCTGGACCATAATTCCCACCAATTTTGTCCACTGGCCACATTGGCAGCTGGCTGATGGGAGCTGGAGTCCAATAACATGTGGATGGAGAAGGCTGGTGTGTGCTAACAAGAGGCATGCACATCTTGTTGAGAATAATGGATCGTTTCTAAAGACAGCAATGCTTTAGATGCATACAAACTGAAAAGAAGTCTCCTCCTACCGTTCTTCCAAGAGTGCATGAACAGAAGAACTGTGAGTTTAAGATTGAATGAGGGGAGCAATAATTAGACCAGAGTGACAGATTTATTTTGAAGCATCACCACACCAGATGCCAAGAGGAAAGCGGGAGGCAGGAAGACCAGCACCAGTACAAGACAGGGGTGGGGAGATACAGCTCCAACAGTGAACTAAAAGGAATGATCAAGATACTGTATTTTCTCAGGACTGTGAAAGAAGAGAACTTCATTTATGCAATAATTAGGGCTGAGCGGGAAGGAAGCTAAATTTTCAGAAACGTTTATATCAGCATTTGAGCTTTTCTCCAAAACAAAATGGAAGGGTCTACGGAATGTAATAGCTTGCTGGATCAGGCCCATGGCCCATCAAGTCCAGCATACTGTTCTCACAATGGTCAACCAGATGCTTGAGGGAAACCAGGAAGCAGAACGTGAGCATGATAGCCAAAGCTAGGTGACCACATAGCACAGTATTACGTGATTCCTGGCTGGTAGGCATCACTAAAAGGCCAAGAAGCCAAGGGCCCTAACTCAGAGGTAAAGCACATGTTTTGCATGCAGCAGGTTGCAGGTTCAATTCCCTGTGTCTCCAGATGGAGCTGGGGAAGTCTTCCATCTGAAACCCTGGACTAGATTGGTAGATGACCAATGACCAAAATACGGTGCTTAAGCAGTAGCAGATTGGGGAAATGGTGACAGTACTTATCACCTTAGTCAAATATTTACTATAAATATCATACACAAATAAGGCATTTCTGCTCATGGACTCTTAATTCTTTGACAATTTGGGCATCCAGACCCTAAACTGAAACTTAAAAATTGGTTTGGTTATCACACGGCTTTTCAGTTTTTAAAAACTGAAAAATATCTATAAAATTGTGCAGTCACACATATAAGGGATTTTTCAGACAACACTGAAGCACAGCTAAGCTTCAGCACTAATACAACCTGTATTTTTTCTGAGAATTCTGAGAAATGACAATGCCTCTCATTTTTGTGTGTTCACTTCCTACTGCTCTTTCCGTCACATTGTAACTCAACCTCAGCCAAAGCTTCTTCACAGACTTCTCTCTTACCTATGCCCTTTCAGGGATAGCATGTTGTTTTCTGTAGCTTGATCAAGGAATTTCTTTTCCAGGGCCTCATCGCCCTTCATGCTGCCAATCCGGAAAGGAACATTCATTCTGCTCCTGCTCTTCTTCTCCACAGGACACCTGGAAATTTCACAGAAATATGATTACAGCCATATTTTGGCTTGTTATCAAATGAGTACATATTAATGACCTAAATTGTAGGTGGTATTCAACTAAGTTTTACTCAGAGCAGACCTATTAAAATTAATGGGACTAACATAGCCATGTTCATTCATTTTTGGACGTCTAATTAAGTAAAACTTAATTGACTACCATCCTATGTTTCTAAGTGACATAATCTTTTGTCAGCCACAGAAATCAGTTCTACAGTGGTGCCTCGCAAGACGAAAAGAATCCGTTCCGCGATTCTCTTCGTCTAGCTGTTTTTTCGTCTTGCAAAGCAACCCCATTAGCGGCTAAGCGGATTAGCGCTATTAGCGGCTTAGCGACTATTAAAGGCTTAGCGGCTAAAAGGCTATTAGCGGCATAGCGGCTTAGAAAAAGGGGGGGGAGCGAAAAAAAATGGCGAGACTCGCAAGACATTTTCGTCTTGCGGAGCAAGCCCATAGGGAAATTCGTCTTGCGAAGCAACTCAAAAACGGAAAACCCTTTCGTCTAGCGGGTTTTCCGTTTTGCGAGGCATTCATCTTGCGGGGCACCACTGTACTTGCAAACTCTAAAGGGCTACCTGAAAGATAATTACACGGAAATTACATGGGGAAGTGTCAGATGACCTGATCCCTTTATGCTGAAAGAATGCATGGGGGCGTCTGCAAAGGCTAGCCATGCCCCATCGTGGGCAACAGCCATGCCCCTGCTCCTGGGCACTTGGCAGGGGTTCATTTGGCACGTGAGAAGACTATGTGTCCCCATGTGTGAAGATCTTCAACACACCTGCCAAAGATGCTTGAATCATGTGTGTGTCTGTGTGTGTCTGAACAACTTTTAAATAAACACCAAGGGGAAATAATACACGAAGCTGGCAGGTTGCCTTTCAAAATTAAACTGCTTTGCTGTTTTCTACAAACAAGTGGTATATAACATTTTATGAAATAAACATATTTTTTTTAGCATAAGAAATGTACTTTTCCACTACAGGCTCCTCTAGCTGGGGAAAGCCAATGAAGCTTTTGTTTTTCCCAGATGTACAAAAAGGCGGCAGCACCGCACAGGGGAGAGAGTGGCAAGAGGCAAGGCTGAAGGAGTCTTTTGCTTGACTGGAAGGAGAACATGCTGCAAATCGTTTTATATTACACTTGTCTTCCACCTAATTCTCATCAAATCCAGAAGAAATTCAACAAAAGATTTGCAGCTGCAATTACCAAGAAGCCACATGCAAGCCTGCAGTTGGCTCAACTGATGCAGCACAATCTCAACCACAAGAACTCTGAAGACCATGTGAGATTATTATTATTATTTAGTTTATATATCACTGAATGCCCGAATAGACTTCTAAGCCATCTACATGCATAAAAGCCAACTGCCACAATTTGATAGCAAAGCACTGCTATCTATTCACACTTGAAAAGGAGAATGGGTATTAAATAATTTAGGCCACTTCTGGTTGTGGTTGAAAGGAGTCAACAAGCAGGCACTCTACATTTAAAAAACAATATCACTGTTTCACACCAGCATACAGCAGAGACACGCAATGCAAACAAACTGTAGCAAGTTTGCATGATGAAATAAGATTCTTGGTGCACTGAAAAGCTGTTCACTTTTTGCTCTGTCCAGTAAGGCACTTTGTTGCTTAGGTGGCATTTCACAGTTAAACAGCCTCCAGTCAAAAAACGTGGCACAAAATACAGCAGTACATACTGATAAGATGCATACAGCTCAATTGCATCATAATAATGGCCACAACTTTTGTTGTGAATTCCTAAACAGCTGGCTGGCTACAGGCAAAAACCGTATTAGCTGCCATGGGGGAAATAAGTTTCTCCTGGCTATAATCTCACTTAAATGGAACTAACAAGCTAGAAGTTATGAAATGGGTAGGATGAAGGTAAACACATTACAGATAAAAGAAAAAAAAATAAAAGGGGGGAAAATTCCTTCCAGTGGCACCTTAGAGACCAACTAAGTTTGTTATTGGTATGAGCTTTCATGTGCATGCACACTTCTTCAGATGCACACAGAAGCTCATACCAATAACAAACTTAGTTGGTCTCTAAGGTGCCACTGGAAGGAATTTTTTTATTTTGTTTCAACAACATGGCTACCTACCTGTAACTAGAATATTACAGATAACGTACCATCAAAGCATGTGATTTCTAGCCTGGCATAATCCTCTCGCAATATGCACACACCCAGAAGCTGCCGCTCCTGGGAGAAAGCAAGGCTACAAGCTTTTTCACTGAAATGCTAGTTTTCCACATGTGCTTGTGTGGAAGATTTGGTAAAGTCCTATATAGATGAAGTCCTCTGAGATAGCACTGCACAGTAACAATGGTAAAAGTCAGGACAACTTACACGTAGAATCCACTGGATCCATCAATAATATCATAAATCATCTGTGACTTCATTTGGCTAAGCTTATCCATAGCTGCAGCTCCGCCACTGTTTCTTACCCAATCCAGGACCAAGCCTGTGATATAGATACTGGAATCAAAAGAGAAGAGGCACCAATTATTTACAATGCTATGTTCATGTCTCAATAACAAAAACAGCAAGTTTTGCTTACATGGTATAAAAGAGAAGTAAAACCAACAAAAGAGTGTGTTGGGGGACAGGGAAGAGACAGAGTCATCTGTCCCCAATGTGCACCCAGTACCTAATCTAAATCGGCATGCCCCATGAAGACCAGGCGTGTGTCATGCCAAGGTGTCAGCAGGCATCCTGTTTCAAACGGCGCAAGCAAGCAAGCCAAATCACATGCAAAAAGGCAAAGCATCATTTTACGGCAAGTGAAACCTGTCAGCCAAAGCAAGACAACTTCCTATAAAATACTTTGTATTCTACAGTGGTACCTCGCAAGACGAATGCCTCGCAAGACAAAAAACTCGCAAGACGAAAGGGTTTTTGGTTTTTTTAGTTGCTTCGCAAGATGATTTTCCCTATGGGCTTGCTTCGCAAGACGAAAATGCCTTGCAAGTTTGTTTCCTTTTTCTTAAAACCGTTAATACAGTTGCGACTTGACTTTGAGGAGCAACTCATAGCACGCGGTGTGGTAGCCTTTTTGGAGGTTTTTAAAGACTTTGGTGATTTTTGAAGCTTTTCCAAAACTTTTCCGAAACCGTACTTCGCAAGACGAAAAAATCGCAAGACGGAAAAACTCGCGGAATGAATTAATTTCGTCTTGCGAGGCACCACTGTAGTTAGAATCTAGCTGCTGGTTAACAGTGCTCTGGGAACACAATACCGTAGAGACAATTGGAGGTTGTAGATATAATGCTAGGGCAAAATTGAAAATTCCCATTGTTTCTTCATCTGTATAGGCCCTGTCATGACTGCTGAAATTGTGGTCTAACCAACAAGAGATCCAGTTGTGAAATACTGGTCAAATTAAAGGATCTTGGCTCAAGTGGCAGAGAAGCCATTCAAACTTGCGAAAGATATTGCTGGCATTGGCCTCCTGTTGATACGACAGCATTAACATTTTCATCAAACCTATTTCCTATTTAAAATAACTTAAACCTTTACACCTTGAGCTGTTCTTTTTTTGCAATAGCCAGTAAGAACAATAGTGTCCTGCTGCTTTCATGTAGCCATTGACAAACTTTTCCAAAGAAAGTTACTGAATGAAAATCAGAATGCAAAGCATTGTCTGTGATTTTAGCTACAAAGAGAGAATTCTGCTTGATCACAGGTATTTCCCATGGATGTCACTTTGCATACTAAACTGCTTGTAAAAAGCTAATAGCCATAATCCTAGACATACTTACTATAACTACTATTAATATTAAGCATTCAAATAGTGCTCAAGACTGTTAAAAGTACATTATAGTGTTGTTTGTAAGGACTGCCATTTTGAATGCAAGGAAGATGAATAGCTGAGGGATAATGTTGACCCAAGACTACCTTATGAATTCAAGGCAGAGATTCCCAACTCAGATTCTCAGCTAACTAGGAAGTTGCTCCTATTGAACCAAGCTGGATTATTGCTAAATCAACAGTGTTTATTGTAGGCAAATAGCCTGAGCCAACTGTATATCACACTGCTCACCCAAGTCATCTGATCTTTTACTGTCCCCATGTGCAGAAAAGCATCATTCACCCTACTCAGCCGGCATGCAGGAGTGTCCTTCCAAGCAGCCTGCCTTCTCCAGGGACCTTCTGGTTGGTCACTACTTTGGAAGCAGGATCATGGGCCCTTTATTTGTAAAGCTGCCATTATGCCAGTGCCTGGATTTGGTCCAAGAATCACACAAATCTGTATTGTCACTCAGATACATGCCCCATTTCCAGCACATTACACAAAAGCCATGAGCATTAAGGAAGCAGAGAACGCCCAGAAATCAGCTGGTATGGGGGCTCTAATCCACTTTCCAGACAAAAGGACAGACTTTGATGCCACAACACAAACCAGCACAAGTCTTTGGCAGACAATAAGCCTAAAATATAAAACATTCCTGTTCCTTAGCTATTTTGTTCCATTTCCACATCACTCTTTCTCATTTGCACACCTGTTGCAAAAGTGTCCCACACTCAGAGAATTCTTGTATGAGCTAGTTTGGTACCGGTTCATTATATCCTGTACTGGATTTCACATAAGCCTTTATGATCCACAAAATACAGTGGGGGTAGGGGGCGTAATAGACTGACCCACTTTAAAAGCCACATAGCAAGCTTCCATGCCACCCCCAAAGCAGGTTTAGTCATAGATTTGAATATCAAGGAAATCCTTGTAGCTAGGAAATGCGATTTCTCCCCAGGGGGGGGGGGAAGCACTGTTAATCTTCATGCAGCAGATTAACGTCAGGAAGCCAGGACTCCTTTTGGCAAGAGGTTAAAACGATCCGTATTGGAATAATTTAATTCAGTGCTTCACTACAGCAGCTCATGGACATTCAGGTCAGGTCCCCAGCCAACTAACGGCTGCACAGAGAAGAAAGAGAAACAGTCAGAATTACCGAAAAAAGGAAAGAGAGTTTGGTCAATCTCTTGCAAGACACATGTTGTTTTCAAGAAGCAAACACAAGGCAGCTACATCCAGCCAACTTGCAGGTTACAAATTTTACAGCACTGTAAATATGGAATGTTATAAAAAATGGGTAACTAGTTTACAAATATATAAGAAAAAATGAAGTTTAAAAGTTTGCAATCGTCTGCCCTGAGTTTTATGTCCCTACTACAGTATACAATTATTATGCAAGCTACTGATAATTTAGCAGTTATGGCTTCCAGGAGAATTCAGTTTTTCTTAATTGAAATTATTTTCCATGCATGTAAACCTTTCACTCCATACTCAGGATACTAGAATAATGTAATGGGGCGGGACTTAAACTGGGCACCAAAAATGACCAATAGATGCAAAACTGGTCAAATAGGGTACTTTATCAATAATGATGCATTCTTCCCTTCCACCACACCCCATTTTGTCTTCGCAGAGAAGCTTTTCTTGGTTTTTCTATTTAGCCAGACAGAAACAACCAATCACGTTATATGGCATAGCCATATTTTCAAATTTTAAAATCCTTGCAATGTTTGTGTTGGGCTTGTCAGGGAGAAGGAAATGGTGCTTTTCTGATGGGGTTGTAAACCCCCCCCCCCGGAAATGTTTAGTTAAAGGGCAATATAAAATTATTTGAAATAAATAAAGTTAAAATACTCCATGCATTCCAGAACACTGCCAACACTCACTATCGAATAAGTAACTTTTGGCATGTGTGAATAAAATCTATATGAAACTTCTAGTGATGGAAAAGGGTTTGGGGGGGGCACCAGCCTATTGTACGTGGTAGACACATGTTGCACAATTAAATACTAAGAGATCTGTTTGAACTCCTGCATCTGATATGGTTTTTCTCCACCTTGCAAGGTAACATTCATAACATTTTTCCATCGGTACATCCTATGAAGTTGAAACAGACCTTTAGAAATGGGGATTTAAATGCCTGAAAAAAATAAAATGCCTGTTTTACACTCCTAACCCATTACAGAAAGAAGTTGTAGGAACTGCTTGCATAACTAAAATTTTCCATTCACATAATTCATGTGCTCACACCGTAGATCTGAAGAGTTCAGTAGTCACACATACACTCACTCACCTCTTGAGTAACTATTAACTCCTAATTACCCTACTAACAAAAGCACAACTTCACTGCTGTCAGCAATTCAGAAACACACAGAGTAACCCTTTATTCAGTTTTGCCTTGTTTGCATCCAGAACTGCTAATTAAATTCCACTTAGTAACCATGATGCCTAGATGACAATTAAAATGGAATAGGCATGGTTGTTGGTTGGGATTTTGGTCTGGGGAAATAATCACCTGAGCCAGTTCAGCTTGAAACAGGTAAGTCAAGAGATGCAGGTAGGCAGTGGAAGGGAAAGAAACTATGGGCAGAGAATTTCTCGGCTCAATTCAGACCATGATCAGAAGCAGACCTGGCACTCCCATGACCATCTTTGCAGTTTTCGCACAGTGCCACAACGTGACACTACATCAAGGACACAACAAAGAATTAGCCAGTACTGCTGTGTAAGCCTATCTGCCAGCAAAATAGGAAGTCCAAAGAAAGCATTATGTCAAGGGTATCTTCAAGTCTGTAGTCAGTCTTGCTGAGGACCAATTCAGGAAAAGCAGGAACTCTGCCAAAATTTATACCACCCTGACATTTTATTTCACTGGGAAAATTTGGTTATGTCACTGAGACGTAACCAACTAACATTTATTTTCTGGAGTAGCTTTATTTTCTGGAATAGCTTGGGGTGGAACCTTATCCCCCTTATCCAGTGGGTTCGGACAGCCACCTGTCCAATAGCCTGACATCACAATGACATTAGATAACCTGTTTTTGCATAGCACTGTACACCAAATCAGCAGCAATCAGCTGATCACTGGGGTTTGCAAAACACCATGCATGGCGCTATGCAATCATCAGCTGAGTTTGCAAAGCACTGTGCACCATTTGCAGATGTCTGCAAACTTCCACTTGGCCCAGTCATGTCTTTATCTAGTATAGGGCAGGTGGGCACAGCTTCACCAAAATGGCCTTGGGGGCCAAATGGACAGGCCCGGTGGGCCTAATTTAGCCCACAGACTGGACGTTTCTAACCTCTGCTCTGCATAGTAAACTTCCGAGTAATTAACAAAATGAAGGATATTGTACTGTGGCAAAATTACCTGAAGCACGGAGGAGTGTTGTATAGTGAGCTGTTCTCCACTTGCACTTTGTAGTCCAAGACTGTCGGGCACTCTTTGAGCGCAAAGCCAATCAAGTCCTCACGTACTATAACCACTGTAACTCCAGCACAGCCTGCATTCTTCTGGGCACCAGCAAAGATTACACCAAACTTGACATTGGAAGTGGGGAGGAGAAAAGAAAGGGGAAATGGATATTAAATCCATGTACTCATTTGTACATTACAGTCGTTTCAGAAGTTGAACGGACTTCCAGAACGGATTCTGTTTGACTTCCGAGGTATGACTGTATAAGCAGAACATATACTGGTGTATGTTCCTATACACACAAATAATGGAAAAGATCACTGCTGTGAAACATTAGCCAGCTAAATCACTTAACAATGCATATACTGAAAGTGAAATACACTCAGGAGGTCCTTCTCAGGTGATAACTTGCAATGAGATCCTAAATATGTTTTACTCGGAGCAGACCTATTGAAATTAATGGATCAAATTTAGTCATACTCATTGAACAAGTGAGTAAAAGCATTACACGAATCAGCTTGAGCAAACCAAGGTTTGAGATATTAGGTTACTCCGTGCAAAGGAACAAACTGCCCTTTTGGAACTTTACCTTAGACACATCCACCGGCCTGGAGAGGAAATTGGACGACATATCACACACTAAAACTGCCTTTCCAACATCAGGGACAAAGTCAAACTCGACACCATGAACCGTCTCATTTGCACAATAGTAGACATAAGAGGCATCGGGGTTAAGGTTCCAAGTGCTTGGATCAGGAATTTCTGAAGCAGGTAAGACAACAGAGAGAGAAACAATGGAAATATTTCCCAGCTAGCAGATTCAGAAGTCCAATGAGATACAACTTTCCTTTAAATATTGAACTTTGAAAGCAACTCTGGTTCAACAAATTTCTATTGCTTTGCCAGCAAAGTTAATTCATTATTGGAATGGCTACAAAAGAGAAATGGGCAATTTCAAAAAAACACCCACCGCCCACCACACTTTCTCATCATGGAAGTAGTAGAGTGTGTTAAATAAACAGGATACCAGGTCCTTTCAAGATGCTAAAAACAGACCACCATTCAAAATCATTTCAACATTCAAGCCAGAACGTAATCTTTTGTAGCATAATAAGGTAGTTAGGTGAGGCCCCTGTGGCCCTTCAGACGATGCTAGACTATGATTTCCATCATCCCTGACCACTGGTATGCTGGCTGAGGCTAACAGGAGTTGGGATCCAGCAAATCTAGTAAGCCATAAGTTGTCCACCCTGATCTACATGATGCATGCTAATCCTCATTGATGCCAATGTATTTTGTGAACTTAACAGGCTACTCACACACCCAAACAGCAACAGAGCACTTGCAAATGGCTGTGTAGAAGTTGCTGCTACAGACATTTTCCCCATGGTGCCATGCATAAGCTACACATGTATCAAGAACTACATTTCCCATCAGCCCCAGACAGCACAACAAATGGTTCTGAATGGTAAGAATTGTAGTTCAACAACAGCTGGAAGGTCACAGGTTAACCAGTCATGCTTTAGATAATAATTCAGGCTTCCTCAACCAGGCACTAGGGCTGGGCGATATCTGGTTTTCAACCTCCCTACAGTGGCGGAGGATGTGCCACATTTTCCCACAGCAGCAGAAGGTCCCATACTACCTCCCCACGGTGGCAGAGGGTGTGCCACACTTCACTGCAGCAGCAGAGGACCCTGACAAGGCTCCCTGTGGCGGTGGAGGGCCTTAAAATTTAAGGAAGTAGTAAATTTAATAAAAATATTAAATAAACTTCCATATAATATATTTAATATATTTTCAACTAATTTAAGAGGCGTTTTTTTTAAAAAAAGAAAGGTAAAGGACCCCTGACAGTTAAGTCCAGTCACGGACAACTCTGAGGTTGCAGCGCTCATCTCGCTTTACTGGCCAAGGGAGCCGACGTTTGTCTGCAGGCAGTTTTTCCGGGTCATGTGGCCAGCATGACTAAGCAGCTTCTGGCAAAACCAGAGCAGCGCACACCGTTTACCTTCCCGCAGCAGTGGTACCTATTTATCTACAGTGGACGCTCGGGTTGCAAACGTGATCCGTGCAGGAGGCACGTTTGTAACCCACAGCACCGCGTCTGCGCATGCGTGGGTTGCGTTTAGGCACTTCTGCACATGCGCGACCGCCAAAACCCAGAAGTAACCTGTTCCGGTACTTCCGGGTTTCGGCGGGTCCATAACCCAAAAAAACACAACCTGAAGCGTCTGTAACCCGGGGTATGACTGTACTTGCACTTTGACATGCTTTCAAACTGCTAGGTTGGCAGGAGCAGGGACCAAGCAACGGGAGCTCACCCCGTTGCAGGGATTCGAACCGCCAACCTTCTGATCAGCAAGCCCTAGGCTCACCTGCGTCCCTAATTTAAGAGTATTTTAAGTGATTTACTAGTCAAGTTGCATCTGCTTCCCCACTCAGAGGTCTAAGTGGAATCTGTGCATGCAGAAGCCCCACTGAGTTCAACTAAACTTACTTCTACTTTCCTGGGAGCAAGCCTTGTTGAATTCAGTAGGGCTTGTTTGCAAGTAGACACGCATTTACTTGCACTGCTTACTGAAAAAACCCTCCCCATCATTCTCACAAGCAAAATGAGCGCGGCACCCCATAGTCGCCTTTGACTGGACATAACAGTCCAGGGGTCTCTTTCCTTTACGTAATGTTTGCACATTCTCATAAGCTGTTCTGAAAGCGGGGACAGAACCCTAATTTATGCACTGCACAGCAGACACATAATATCATCATGCTGTTGAATGGGTTGAATGGGTAGAACAAGATGTGTTTCATAGATACAGCAAGTTGCCCTATTCTTTTTCATCATGGGTACTTCCAGGCCAGCACTCTTGTCAAACTGCATTTCTGCTTTGATCCTCACTCTCCCTCTACTGATTTTCCCATGCTCCTAAACTTTTGTTTTCTTTTTTTCTCCCACGCACAATATTACCCATACATGGTCCAATAACTTTGGTGTAATGTGTCCACAGAAGGGGGGGGGAGGGCCAAGATGGGAGTGTAACAGCCAGATTTAGCCTCCCCTAAAAGCAATGTGCAGAAGCGGTTAGTTTTGCATGAAGGGGTTCACAGGTACCAACAGTGCAAATCTGGCAGTTTTTGAAAAGACCATTAAGAAAGACGGTCAAAGTCAAGGGCTAGGAAGCAGCAGCGAAAACTTCTTATCCAGGCCAAATCATAAGAATAGCTGCATTTCGGTAATGAGATAACCAGTTTTCATACTTTGGGACCCTTTAGGATTGTAGTAAATATTACACACACAGTTTGTTTTTATAAAAAACAGAAACAGTAAGCAGGAAAGAAAATGCACATACAACAGTTTAGCTTCCACAAACGTTGAAGTTTGCACGTTTACTTACTTGTATAACTAGAGAGTTTAGGATGAACAAGGTTCACTTTGGCATATTTCTCTGCTTCCTTGGCTGCTTTTGCTGACCAGGCTCCTGTAACCACATAATCAGCACACCTGGCTTCTTTTAGCCCAATAAGATTAAGTGGGACACCACTGAATTGTCCAGATCCACCTCCTTGGAGAAAAATCACTTTGTAGTTGTCTGGTATATTTCTGTGCAAAGAAGTATCGGGAAAATGAAACAATACTATCAGTTCAGGATTCAAAATATTTGACAGTTGTTCCTCTCCAAATTAGATCCCCGGTGAAAATATCAGTTATAGATCAATGAAACTTTTTTGTTAAAATGGTGTTTTACATTATTTGTAAACAGTTACTATCCAGTATTTCAACAGATACACAGTATTTCAGTATAACCCTCTGTCAGGCTAATAAGCATTAGATATAATAGTCTACATATTTCAGCTTCCAAAGAAAATAAGAAAAATGTTTCTAAGTTGTTAAGTTCCAGAAGCTCTATAAATACTGCTACTGGACCAATCACATTAATACAACATGAAGAAGAAAGCCTTGTGCTGTGGTTGGATGACTGATGACAATGCAAAATTACAGATAATCAACTAGGCGTGTGCTTGGTGCTGCTGAACAAATTTTAGCAGAGTGAGGAATCTTACAATGCTGTTCCAGAATGAACTGCGGAAGTCAAAATTTATAGCCAGTCCAGATAAATGCAAAAAAGTACCTACTGTATTTTTTGCTCTATAAGACACACTTTTCCCCTCCTAAAAAAGTAAGGGGAAATGTGTGTGTGTGTTATGGAGTGAATGCAGGTGGGAGGCTCTGCTCAGCGCTTCCTTTAAAGAGCGCGTGGAGTGTGTGTGCAGCTCTTGGGGGCTTTAGAGCCGCACACACACTCCCCGCGCTCTTTAAAGGGAGCATGGCTCTTGGGGGAGCCTTAGCCGTGCACAGCCTCTCCCGGGGCAGGGGATGAAGGCTCCCCTTGCCAGGGAGAGGCTGCGCGTGCCTATCCCATAAGCCAGGACAGCCAGCAGAATATTTTTTTTCTTGTTTTCCTCTTCCAAAAACTAGGTGCGTCTTATAGAGCGAAAAATACGGCAATCTCTTTGACATTTCTTGTTTGTGAAGAATCACTTGAAGCCCGCTCCCAGATATACTAGGCAGAATTCTAGGCTGCCCTGCGGATCTCGGACACTTCACATGCTCCAGTCTTCAATCATGGACAGCCATTGGCAAAACACCACAAAGGAAGGCCTACTCTTGACTTCTTCAGAGAAAAATTGAGCAAATATTCCGTATCTTCATCTAACCCATGTGTGGCGTTTGCCCTCCTATGTTTGTGACATCATACTGGGTTCATAGGGAAAGGGTTAACTAATTGTAAAATGACTAACCAATGGGAACCCAGGGGGCAGAGTTAAGTGTGTATAAGTTTTAAGCACAGAGGTTTTTAGAGAGTTAAGAGTTGTTGAGAAGACAGTCTGGAGTTAGAAGAGACAGAGAAGGTAAGTCTGTGGGTTGGGCTAGTCTGGTGTGAGAGAGGGAGAGAATTTGTTAAGAGGAGTCAGTCAAACTGTTGAGATAATCAGTCAGAAGGTATTAGGAAGGTACAGGAAGAGAGTAACTGGTTGGTGGCAGCGGGGAAGCAAACACAGTGGTGGCACAGGGATCAATAGACCGATAAACATCCAGGGACCCTGTGTGATCGCCACACCATGGTACTGTGCTACAGCTGCAAGTATTACATGTATTTTGCACTTGTCAATACAATATTAGAACAATAACCAAACCTGCTGGCAACCTTTTAGGAACAAATCATTCTAAGAACAGGAATACAAAGTGTTTGGTCCTGTGTCCATATCAATAAAACAGACACTTTGATGAACTTACTGTAAAAAAATTACACATGGAGTGGGAACTGTACTACAGTTACTATGTCTTCAGATTAAAGGCTTTTTAGAATGTGAATAAAAATGGTCACTTACAAGAGTTCACGCAAGCACTTTTCAGCTGCTTTGACAATTTTTGAAAAATCAGATGATCTGTGGCTCATTTCTGCAACAAAATAAATATATCAGAAATGACACAATAAAAACCGTATCACTAAAATAAATTTGGCTTTATAAAAATGCCATCTTTAATTCACATTTATTCAATGGAGATAGAAGATCAGTGGGTACAGGAACTGTGTGCAAATGTCCGCTTCCTCCACTGAAATGAATGAAGCACTCTTTTAGGCAGCACAGCTACATACATCAGAGCTCCTACACCCTTGAGGAAACTGCTAGACCAGGGTGACAGCTTCTGTTTCAGTACCATAGGGGGTAGAAACTGCAAAGATAGCTGGATCCTCAGTTCACTTCACTGGAAAGTGAAAGGGAAATAGCAAGAGCTGGTGTTGCAGAGCCGTAGCTGGAGTGTTGCAGGTGGCTCAGGAAGACCAAAGTTTAAAGTCCTGCTCAGCTACGAAGTTCATTGGGTGACTCTGAACCAACTGCAGTTTCTCAAGAGAAAACGAACACTCCTGGCCCCTTCAGACATCTGCTTTCCAGAGCTCATTGGTGCAAGGGTGGGATAAAAGTTGGAGAGATATTTCAGAAAGGATAATTCTCAAACTGGGAATGCCTACATTTAAATGTGTAGCTCTTTCTTGTTGTGTTCATTAGAAAATACAATTAAAAGCTCCAAATGCTAAAAAGACATCAAGAATAAGTAAGAGTGCCTTACCAAGAACACTAATGCCAAGGCCATTATAATTCACCAACTCTTTCTGGGCTTCTAACAATACCTACAAAAGAAATCAATTCGATATCATTGTGGACATTTCAATGTCAAATCTCACAAATCCTAGTTACTATATAGAATCATTTGTAAGTGTATGTGTTCTCCAAGCATGGACAGACATAATTATACCAGGTTGTTTTCTATCACCTAATCCTTTTTTGCTTCTTTTTCCTTTTGCTATTGCAGAACTGGAGATACAAAGACACACCCAGAGACTTTCTGCACACTAGGCATGCACCTTCTACTTTTGAGCTATGCTTTCTGAGCTTGTATATTTCTTATAAAAAGGAATTCTTATAAAGACTTTAAAAAAAGACGGATTCAACAGGATTGGATTATGCGTAGTGTCGCCCATGGTTATTTCAATATGGCTAAAGTTTTTGCAGCCAATCAAAGGTTGTTCAGTGTTTCAAGTACACTGTCCTACACTGGGAATGAGTTATTAACAAAACACCTCGCATCCAGAGTCATTCTCTCTGTGCACTGATGTGAAAGACTGCTGGAATAAATTACCTAATTTATCATTTTCATGCACAGCATTTTGGACAGATCAGATCAGATCTGGCATTACTAACACTGGGCACCATTTTTCCCCAGTAAAACACTGAAAAATAAAGGCATTTTTCAATAGCCATTGTTTAGGTACAAGTTCTATTGAACATCAAAGTTCCTTTCTAGCTGATTAATCAGATTCAGCACAACAATAAGACACTAATGCACAATCCTTTGATTAGAAAAGGCATCAAACTCATGTTATTAGGGATGGGCAATCTGGTTCTCTAACTGTTGTTGGACTACAGCTTCCATCTTCCATGGCCCTATGGGCTGGGGCTTATGAGGGTTGGAGTCACACAACATCTGGAGGACCACAAGGTTCACATCCCTATCAGAATATTATCTATGAAGATTAATTCAAATGAAAATGTTTGCTGCAGACTTCTAAAGCAGTCTTTTAGAAAGTAGCAAGAACTTCACAGCTTCCCATGAGTGTAGCCAGGATTTATGTTTTTTGGGAGAGGGAGAACCTCAGTTAAATATTTTTATTGATTTACTTGATTAGGACAGGGCAGCTGCCCACCCCACCCCCCACCCCCGGCTATGTCCATGCAGCTTCCCAGGTCCAAAAGAGAACAATGCACAAGAGTGCTTTAAACTAACTAAAGTGCTTAGGAATGCAATTCTTATGGAAAGCTGGAAAAATAATTTATATCTGATGGAGCCAAACCTCTCCCATATGTGATTGGATCAAGACAGATGCTGATGTAACTTTCTGAGCAGATGAGTTTACAGTCAGCATATTACTATCATATGTTGTATAAAATCTATTTCTCCAGTCGCCTGACATTAAACTAGGATATCTGCAAAAAAAATTCTGTCCTACATGTTCACAAAGCATTTATTCAGCAGTGGTAAACAAAGGGTTCTTTTAATTCCAGCCCCACGCACAAACAAAAGGGGTAAGCATTTTTATTCCATGAGCTCTGATATTAGTAGCTTTTTCAACTGGAAAAAAACCAAGCAAACTATATTCCTTTTTACAGCTGTTGGAGAAAGGAAGGGGGAATTTAGGTAGTTTTTCCACAGCTGCTGGGACACACCTCCACAGAAAGAGAATGCGTACTGTTCTTAAAACCCCTGAAATGGCCCTTGTGTTACAGCTCAACAAAACGTTATCCTGTAATAAAAGCCATGCAAAGCATTTGTTTAGGAGCGATAGGAAGTTAAAATGGGTAACCAATAACAGATCTGGGAGCATAGGTTCGACATTTTAAAACAGACATACCGGTATGTCCTTTTAAAGAGAGTGGGAGTCACTAGACAAAACGCGCTTTGCACTCTCCCAATACAAGGCTTTGGGAGTCAAAAAGAGGAGGGGGAATTGCCAGATGTTCTGGGACAGCCTTGAAAAATACATTTTCCCCCCTTTACTACTATACCTGAAAGAGCAAGGCGTTAGCAATGGCTCTTTAGTTCACTGCCAGCATAGAAGACGCCAGCACAGCAAGAAGATAAACGAAGATAGGAAGAGGCGAGCTAGTGCGAACTTGCCAGCTAATTAGCGTACTTGACAAGAATCCAGTACAGCACTTTTTAAAAGCCCCAGCCTTTCTCACCCTTGGCTCCATTTTAACCACGAATGCAAAATCCCTCCTTTGTTACAACTTGCTAACACCCGTCTCAAGACAGCTCTCCGACGGGAGAATGCGGGAATGTCCTCTGCACCTAAAGCAAACACTTGCAAATTGCCCCTTAGAGATATCGCTTCCACAGTATAATAGCTGTTGATCTTTTCATCTTTTCAGGACGAGAACACAAGCACGCCCCTTTTGCAATATCTCTTGGCATTGTGGAATGCTGATTCAGGGAGTCTCTTCCCGGATCAACGATCCGCAGCTCCTACTGCGAACTAGATAACCCCCGTCCCGAGCGCACCAAAAAGCGCGCACCCCCAACGCGTTATCGGAAGGGCAGCCTGAAGTTGAGCGGGGCTGACTTCCAACTTCCAGCGCCAGCCTACTCGGAAGCAAGCCTGGCCAGCTTCCACGGTTACGTGCATACAGGACTGCAGCCACGGCGACACGGGCTTCCGAAGGCACACGCATAGGATCGGGCTGCGCAGTGCAAATCCTCCCCCCTCGCGCATCTCGCCTGCAGGATTTGGCCCCCGCGGAGCACGTACCGGCAGCGGCAGCTTCGCGGGTCCCGCGCCGAAGTTGGCCACGTGCTTCTGGGCGTCCATGGTCCGGGCGATGCTTCCTCCGCGTCCCTCCGGCTTTGTGGGGCTGCAGCCCAGCCGCCTCTCCCGATATTCCCAGGCACAGCGACCTTGAGCCTGCCTGCTTTCCGATTGGCTCCTTGGGCCGAGGTATGGTAATTGCCACGCTCCGATTGGCCAGCGTCTTGCGTCTGGCCGAGCCATTGGCCGGATGGGCGCAGGAGCGAGGCGATGCAAGGCAGGAGGCAGATTGCAACATTCGAGGGGCTCCGCAGCTGGAGCGGCTGCTCGCGGCTCGTCCGGGCAGCGCCAACCTTGGGCCCGCGACGCCGCCGCCGCCGCCACTCCCCCTTGGCAGCGGAGCCGAAGAGCCGCGGGCGCCTGTTCTCTTTCAGAGGACGACGAACTCTGTGCTGGGCACCTTGCCCGCCCCCGCCTGCACCGACAGAGCAGCTCTGGTCTCTGCAAAGGAGAAGAGTAAAAAAGGGATGAGGGAAGGCAGGGCGCCCTGCTGCGGCTCTAGGGAAAGAAGAAAGAAAGGGAGCTGAAGTCTAGAATTGTTTGAAACCAGACCACCCCGCCCTGAAAAGGATCGGGCTACAAACGCATACAGTGGAACCTCGGGTTACATACGCTTCAGGTTACAGACTCCACTAACCCAGAAATAGGGCTTCAGGTTAAGGACTTTGCTTCAGGATGAGAACAGAAATCGTGCTCCCGCGGCGCGGTGGCAGCAGGAGGCCCCATTAGCTAAAGTGGTGCTTCAGGTTAAGAACAGTTTCAGGTTAAGAACGGACCTCCGGAACGAATTAAGTACTTAACCCGAGGCACCACTGTACAGTGGTACCCCGCAAGACGAAAGGGTTTTCTGTTTTGGAGGCGCTTCGCAAGACGAATTTCCCTATGGGCTTGCATCGCAAGACGAAAGCCCATAGGGAAATGCTGGCGGTCGGGAGCAAAGACTTTCGCCCACAGCCGGCCTTCAGAAGAGGACCTCTTCTGAAGGCCGGCGGGGGGCAAAAGTCTTTGCTCCCCCCCGCCTGCCTTCCCCCTGCCTGCCCGGGGCGATCTTAAAATGCTGGCGGGCGGGAGCGATGCGTTCGCTGCCGACCCCCAGCATTTTAAAATCTCCAAGGGACAGCAGAGAAGTCTCTGTCCCGGGGAGATTTTAAAATGCTGGGGGTCGGGAGCGAAGCGTTAGCTGCTGACCCCCAGCATTTTAAAATCTCCCCCTGTCCCGGGGAGATTTTAAAATGCTGGGGGTCGGGAGCGAAGCGTTCGCTGCCGACCCCCAGCATTTTAAAATCTCCCCGTGTCCCGGGGAGGTTTTAAAATGCTGGGGGTCGGGAGCGAAGCGCTGCCGACCCCCAGCATTTTAAAATCTCCCCGTGTCCCGGGGAGGTTTTAAAATGCTGGGGGTCGGGAGCGAAGCGCTGCCGACCCCCAGCATTTTAAAATCTTCCCGGGACACGGGGAGATTTTAAAATGCTGGGGGTCGGCAGCGCTTCGCTCCCGACCCCCAGCATTTTAAAACGCTGTTCCGAAGGGGGGGGACACCTGCCCCAGCCGCCCCACTTCGGAAAGCTGTTCCGAAGCGGGGAGGGGGGGCGGGGACATCTGCCCCAGCCGCCCCACTTCGGAAAGCTGTTCCGAAGCGGGGAGGGGGGGCGGGGACATCTGCCCCAGCCGCCCCACTTCGGAAAGCTGTTCCGAAGTGGGGCGGGGGGGCGGGGACACCTGCCCCAGCCGCCCCACTTCGGAAAGCTGTTCCGAAGCGGGGAGGGGGGCGGGGACATCTGCCCCAGCCGCCCCACTTCGGAAAGCTGTTCCGAAGCGGGGAGGGGGGGCGGGGACATCTGCCCCAGCCGCCCCACTTCGGAAAGCTGTTCCGAAGCGGGGAGGGGGGGCGGGGACATCTGCCCCAGCCGCCCCACTTCGGAAAGCTGTTCCGAAGCAGGGAGGGGGGCGGGGACACCTGCCCCAGCCGCCCCACTTCGGAAAGCTGTTCCGAAGCGGAGAGGGGGGGCGGGGACATCTGCCCCAGCCGCCCCACTTCGGAAAGCTGTTCCGAAGCGGGGAGGGGGGGCGGGGACATCTGCCCCAGCCGCCCCACTTCGGAAAGCTGTTCCGAAGTGGGGAGGGGGGGCGGGGACACCTGCCCCAGCCGCCCCACTTCGGAAAGCTGTTCCGAAGCGGGGAGGGGGGGCGGGACACCTTCTGAAGGCGGGCAGGGGGCGAAAGTCTTTGTCCCCCCTGCCTGCCTTCCCAGGGGCTTTTAAATCGCCCCAGACAGCGGAGAAGTCCTCCGCTGTCCGGGGCGATTTTAAAATGCCGCCCGCCAGCATTTTAAGATCGCCCCGGACAGCGGAGAAGTCCTCCGCTGTCCCAGGGTTTTTTAAAATGCCGGGGGTGGGAAGAAAAGCCCTTGTCCCCCCCCCCCAGCCTTCAGAAGAGGTCCGGGGACAGACTGTCCCCGGACCTGGTCTGAAGGCGGTTTCCCTAGGAACGCATTAATTGATTTTCAATGCATTCCTATGGGAAACCGTGCATCGCAAGACGAAAAAACCGCAAGACGAAGAGACTTGCGGAACGAATTAATTTCGTCTTGCGAGGCACCACTGTATTGGAATGCGCTGGCTCCTTCCTAATGGACAGTGGAATACACTGAATTTTCGAGTGGTCACTGGGGTGCATTTAAAACAGGAATGTGGCACCTAGGGCCCACTAGACAGATTTTCCTGAACTACTGCAGCTATTTATTTATTTTGTGAAATGTATATACCGCTGATTGTAAAGGAAGAGACAAACCTCAGAACGGCGGCTGGTATTGGCAGGAGTTGGATTCCATCAAGATTTGGAAGAAATGTTCTAACCAGCCAGAGAAGTATTGTTAAGGGTTTCCAGTACCAGTGCAGATTGTTCATAGTTAACTAGCCTTTGTCCTAAGGCTATACCAGGACTTGACAAGAGAGTGTTAATAGTAGTGTGTTGCTGTCATGGAACTAAGCAGTTAGTCAATTGCTTCTTCATCTTGAGAATGTTCTGATGAAAAGACACTTATTTGAAGAAAAGAGAGCAGACCTTGCTCCACTGCAGAGGAGGAGGTAATGCAGGTGACTTGTGTAAGAGAAAGACTCTCCTCCCTGCAAGAGAGGGGAGTGGTTGTGGCCGGGAGCCGGACTCTGCCCCAAGCAGGGGGCGTTTGCCCCCTGCCTCCTACTCACCTGGCTGGCGCCCATGCCCTCGACCAGGCACCCAACCAGGTGCCTTCAAGGGGGCGTGTACAGCAGCCTAAATTGCTGCAGCGCCAGCCTCCAGCCCTCACTTTTCATCGTCCCGCTGTGAGTCTTAACTTGTCCTCAGATTTCCAGGTCCAATCAGATGCAGCAGGATCCCTGGGCTTTGGCGTGTACTTCAGGGGACGATGGTGCGCTCAACGATGGCCAACGGGGTGGCGGGGCGAAGCCATTACGCAGTGTCAGAGCTGCCCTAGGTCCCAGCTCACAAAGGACCAACGCCAGTTCGTTGTTATATAAAACAGTCTTTATTGAAGCTCAGTTTCGCTTTCACAGCCGCGGCGCGCAGCTCTACGTCTTAAACTCTAGACCGCCGAAGCTCCGTCTGAATCTCCTCCCCCCAGACACCAGTTTAAGACTCTAGCCTTGCTCCACCTCTTCCTTTGCTCTCTTCTCCTCTGGGCCCGCCTGTCCGCTGGGGTCTCGCCTCTCCTAGACTCTTCTGACGCTGAGTCTCCTGAGTCCTCCCCCTCCCTCCGGCAGGCTTTAGGACCTGGTTCCCAATCCGGGTTTCCTGCTGTGCCGCGCGCCTGTACATTCAAACTTGGCGCGCGCGCCCAGCCGGCCACCTTCCTCCTGACCGTTACACTGCTCCTGTCACTGCTTCCCCCTTCGGGGAGGCTAGCTGCACCTGACTCTCCCTCCGTTCCCTCACTCTGCGATGGAGGCGTGGCCACCCCTGACTCACCTTCTCTCCCTGCTGGAGGAGAAGCTGGCCCTGATACATGTGACTCTTCCCCCTCACTACGCTCTGGTGGAGGAACTGGTCCTGCTCTCCCGCTGCTGCTTTGGGAGTCCCCGCTGGCCCCTTGCTTCTGGTGTATCCCCCCTGGGACCCCCCTTGCCCTGGCCATCGGCGCCCCCCTCTGGGAATCTTCTGATTCGCTGGAGAGACTCATGGAATCTCTCGGGCCACTTTCATACTCCCCTATGCTGCCCTCAGATTCTTCCCCTTCGCTCTCCATTTCCTCTCTCCCCTGTGCCTCTGCTTCTGAGCCCCTGACATGCGGGATCTCACTTTTCTTGAGTTTTTTCCCATAGTAGTGGCCGTACACATCTGGACGGAGGAGTTCCGGAATCGCCGGGTGTGCTTCAGAATTGATAACCAGGCGGTGGTGAACATACTGGCTAGGCAGTCATCTCGGTCTGAGAGGGTCTCGTCCCTGCTACGGTCGTTCGTCCTCTGGTGCCTTGAGTATAATATAATCTTTTCAGCTAAATTTATACCGGGGATCAATAACAATATAGTGGATGCCTTGTCTCGCTTTCAGATGTCTCGCTTCCGGTTGCTGGCACCTGGAGCGCAACTGTTGCCCGAACCCTTTCCGGAGCACCTGTGGAAACTTGGAGACGCAAAGTGATGAAGAGAGTATTAGCGTCTGTTGCACCCTCCACTCTCAGATCTTACAAAAAAGTGTGGTGCGATTTCTTGGGCTTCAGGTCAGGGATATCGGGGCTTTCGCCTAGCGTGCCACCCACCACTGATGACGTTCTGCAATACCTTTCCCATCTTGACGATTTGGGCCGGGCCCCCAAAACTTTAAAGATACATGTAGCCGCCATCAGCTTTTTTGCTAAAGCCATGTTTTCCTCCGACCCGTGCAATGACTTCCTGATCCGCAGAGCCATTAAGGGATGGGCCAGGTTACAACTCCCTAGATCCGAGGGCCGTAAGCCAATTTCGTTCGGGTTGCTCTTACAGATACGCACAAAGCTTAGGTCAATCTGTTGGACCAGGTTCGAGGCCCGCCTCTTTTCCGCAGCAAATGCTATCGCCTTTTTTGGTGCCCTGAGAGTCGGGG